TATATCTGTTTGAGACCTTGTATAAATATATTGTATTCATGTAGATTAGTATCATAATAGACAGATGAGTCAGTGAGTCAAATTTTCTACTGATTTATTGAGATAAATATTGCAGATGCTGATTCAATAATCATTAATTGAAAAGTATTTGAATATTGTTCAGCTTCAGACATGATGATCAAGATGCTCAGTTCTTATAAAAATAAAAGATAGAGCAGATTAAACTATAAACAGCAGAGTTGAAATTAACTGTTTATATTACAAGAGATTTTTAAAACTCTACTGTAACCAGCGTACATCGATTAACGATTTAGCACTATCCTAAATACAGATTACGAATTGATTAAGGAAAGAAAGAGAAAAGAGATCAGAAGGAAAGGTCGTACGAATGGGGTTTTTATAGAGGGGAGATCAGGGCGGAAGAATATCAGAAGCCGCCCCACAGTGGAGCATGGAGCGGAAGAACATTGAGGGTTACGCGGAAGAATCGTTAGAACTACGCGAGCGCGGAGCGTGAGGCAGAAGGAGTTGGTTGCGTAAGTTAACTATTAATAGATGCTAACCCGTCATATCTACAAGGATTAAGCTTTAGAAGATAATATAATGATATATAAAAGAAAATTCAGATTCAATAATTAGATATCAAGAATGTAAAATGTAAAGATCAGATTATAATAGAATGATTTATTGATCTTTAGAAGATTGAGCCAGCTGTTAATTATATATACACAGTATTATAAACAGATTGAACTTGTTATGATATAGTATGATGCAAATGACATAATAATGTCTTGATTTCAAATTTGATATGATATTGATGATGTTAAGTTCAGTGATGTCATATCTTTAAAGTAATTACCACTTCCAGCCTAGTACGGATATTTTAATGCGGGTTTCTTACACAGTGAGCAGTTATCTCACATTTAATTTGTAAAAAATCACATTTATTTGATTGTTGATTTTGAATTTTTTTCAGCTGTTGATTAGTAGCTGTGGATTTTGTACATGTAAATAGCAGGTTTTCATCATCAAATATTTCATGAATTCAAAAAAATTTAACAGAATAATAGAGAAAAGATTTAATAAATAATGAAAATACTTTTTCTTTAACATTTAATACTTTTTTTAATGTCAATGTTTGAATTGTTAATTGTAAATTCAACACTTCAATGAAAGCTGCAGAACTGCATATTACAGAGATATTTAAGAATAAAATTAAAATATTAAAAAAATTAAAAAAAATGATAATTTCAATGTTAAATCCATTTATCTTTTTTTCATATAACTTTTTTAAAAGAGTGTTTTGCTCAAAAGTGATTTTGATTAGAGATCTACATTTATTTGATGAGATGATTGTTATACAATTTACAATTTCTATTTTCTTACAATTTTACTTCATAACATACTCTTCAACTATTCTTTTTGCAGTATATTGAGTATGATAGAAGCTGACAATCATATCATTTATTGTAATATTTCATAACTTGATCTTTATAGACTTCTTTATTTCATTGATAATCACTCATTCATACAATCTGAATGAGATTTCAGATTTAAAAATAGATGTTTGTAGAAATTGAAAATTTTCTGATTGTGTTTTCTCTTTCTTCTTTTTCTTCTTCTCTTTCTTATCCTTATTCTCATCATTATTCAGAACATTCAGAACAGATAGTTTGAGTAGATGAAGACATAGAGTAATTGAAGTTCTTTTACAAACTTGTGAGGCAGTAGAACAGTGGGTGTTGCAGGGCATATTGACAGACGTTTTTTTATATTAATTGAACCTGATGGTTAATTTGAGATCGGGTGGAGCACCTGATTTAACAAAGGACTACGTGATAACGTGTAGAAGAAGAAGCCCTCAAACACTAGAGGCACAACAAGAAGGACTGAACACAGGTCTGTCAACACCTGCAACCAACAGAAAGAGGATAGCCCCCGGGGCGTTAGAACCGCACGGAACATTCGAAGAAGTGTAATGTGACGGCGCCGAGGCGATTGCTACTCGGCAGCGGCACAGAGGAGGATGGTATATAATGGGAAGCCTTATGGGTGGGCTTGATTATCTCGCTTGAACCGCGAACTCGTAGAATACTATACAAATACTGAACTACCAGAGGTACTCGGCACACTATGAATATTGTATGAGGACAGTGGTAACTCTGGTATCTTATTGTCAAAAGATAAAAGACGAATCGCTGGCTCCTGGAATAGAGAGCCAGCATCTAGCTATTCTATATAGACAACGGGCAGCCATCCTCCCCTCACTCTATAAGCGAGGGTAGCCGAAGCAACTCCGCAGTGGCGCTGCATTGATCTGCCAGAAGGAATCCAGACCCCGTATAGAAACAGGATTCTCATATCTCATCAATCGGATCCTCTTCTATTGCATCCGAATGATGTCATAGGGTGGTTGGAAACCGGTTCGGACACCTGCGTGACGTTATGGGATAGATGGGATTATCCGAGGGGAAGCGATGGGCCGTGTGGAGCCGTCACGGGGCCTTGGCACAACCAAGGGTGTGACAATGCCCTCCCCTTTAAAGGCATAGTCCCGATGCCTCAAGATTACCGGATTGGGAATTATCTTTGTTGTGTAGCAACGGTTGCCAACCGCTTTGGCAGCGCGCGCGTTGCGCGGCATAAAGGAATGGGTGAGTCTTTTTGGACGTGATTCTTCTGCTGAATGCCCAGTCCTTCTTTTTCTCCCCCCCCCTGGTCTGCAATAGTGAGTGCATGGGAACGTCGTCCTTGGAAGACAGTAAGGGGGCTTATTCTGATGTTTTCTAGTGGGTAAAAAACGTCTACGTGGTGCAGCTGCGGCCTCTGTCGCGGCCAAAAGGGCCAGGTTGGAGGCGGAGGCGGAGACACCTAGCAGCTGTGGGGGTTCTGCTCCTCCCCCCCTGCCGCTGTCACACCGCCCCCCCCCGCCAATCAACAGGGCGATGTATGACCCCGCATGGTCGTTCGGAGAGGACCTCAGGGAGAGCTTGGTTCCGGGGACAGCGGCTCAAATGAGTCCAGTCCGTAGTTCCCCTCCTGCAGAGCGCCCGAGCCCTGCTCAGGGTGCCTGTGGGTCGGGTCCGCAGGGTTCCATGGTTCCTTTGCTTTCTCCTTGTGGGGAAACCCTGGTGCGGCGCCTGGCTGGCACCGCTACCTGCCTTCGCTGCGCCAAGCAGCTTCGAGAAGGGGGGATCCTTTGCACCCGCCCCTCCGCCCATTCACGCTGTTTCCGTTGCGTGAAAAACAACGACACCTGCCTTCCTGTACGTACTGCTCCTTCTGTAACGGCGCCGTGCCGGTTCTGACAAGGCGTATAGGTGCCAAAGCAGTACAGGGCCAAAGTTGTGGATCTCCAGGCGTTGGCGGATTCCGTCCGTTCTGGGGAGGTTCCCAAGGCCCGTCTGGAGAAGGAGGCGAAAGCGTGGGTCTCCGAGGTGGAAAAACACTTCAGAATGGCCGGCCCTAAGAAGAAGGGGTCGGCCGGCGCCGCCGTTGGAAGCGCCACGGAGACAAATCGTTTGTTGGAGAGGATCTCGCTCCAATTGGAGCAGGTGACTGAGGTGCTTTGCAAATTGGTAAGTTGACACTTTGTTGTACTTTCCTACACCCCCCTGCGGCGCCGCAGCGCTAACTCCACGGCAGGCAAAGGTGCCGGTGCCAGGGACTCCGTCGGTGGAGGAGGAGTTCGGTGGGGGTGAGGTGGTGGAAGAATGAGGCCTTCAGGTGTTTTCTTCGATCTTCGTGGGCTTCGGCCCTTATAGAATAATAGCGACCCTCAGGCCAAATAAAATTGCATTAATTGTTGGTTCTTCATATCCCTTTTTTCCTTCCTACCGCTCTGAGATCTTTGAGCTGCGTAACCTCATTAAACTCCTAAAAACCCCTAGGGAAAAATAGGAGAAGAGTGTTACAGCGTCTTCGAGGCACCGGCTCACCACCGCGAGATCATCTCTAAAAAACCCTTTGGGAAAAAGAAGAAGTCTCAAGCAGCAGCTCTTGCCTAACCACACCTCCGACGTGCAGCGGGGCGGTCTCTACTAGCCACCTCATATTTTGCGATCTCTTCCTCGGCATTCTCTAAATGCTCAAGCGGTTCCCATGAGTTCTCGGATGATGGATAACCTTCCCATTTGACAAGGTATTGAACTTTGTTGTAGTGCATTCGTTTGTCCAATATTCCTTCTACAAGATATTCGGTATTACCCTCAATCTCGACGCCATCCGGCCGAGGCGGCTCCGCCCCGGGTCGTTGCTTATAGGGTTCCAAATAGGAAATGTGGAAGACAGGATGGATAGATTTGAATCCTGAGGTTAGTTTCAACTCATATGCCTGCTTACCCACTACCCTTATTATCGGGAAAGGTCCCAACCATCGCTCACTGAGCTTCTTGCACGGTCTCGTCGTCTTGATGTTCTTTGCTGAAAGTAACACTTGATCCCCTATTGAGAACTTCATTGGAAGGTGTTTTCGATTATAGTATTCCGCCTGTCGCTCCTGGGCGCGGCGGATGCTTTTCGCCGCCTCCCCGTGGATTCTATCCAGAAGCTCCAATCTAGCTTTTACTTCTGGCACCGAGGGGTACTCTGTCCCACGATCCCGTTCGACATTCCGACTGTCTATCCCCCCCTTTAGGACGTCGTCCGCGACGTCACTAGGTAATGAAGGATTATACCCATAACAAGCATAAAAGGGGGACACTTTTAAGGTTGCATTCTTTGCATTGTTATATGCGAATTCGGCGGTCGGAAGGTGTCTAGGCCAGTCATTCTGATGATATGAACAGAACGCCCGAAGATGGTGTTCTAATGTCTGATTCTGACGTTCAGTCTGGCCATCTGTCTGAGGATGGAACGCGGTGCTGAGGAGGCGCCTTATCGTAAGGTGATAGCAAAAGGCCGACCAGTATTTACTGGTGAAAAGGGATCCTCGGTCTGACACTAACGATTTCGGAGAACCGTGATCACGAATGATGGCATCTAAAAACAGGTCAGCCAATTCAGGGGCTTTTAACCTTCTTGTGGGTAGGGATATATTTGGCCATCTTCGTGAAGCGGTCGACAATAACTAGAATTGAGTCATATCCCTTGACTCTTGTCGACTTCGGCAGGTCAACTATGAAATCCATCGATAGATCCTGCCATGGGCCCTTTGGAACAGGCAGTGGCGCCAACTCGCCATATTGCTTGTGCCGCGGAACCTTTATCCTCTGGCAGACATCACAAGTTTCAACATACTCCTTGACATCTGTCCGAAGCTTGTCCCAAACGTACTTACGTCTCAGGAGCTCTTCAGTCTTCTCTAATCCGAAGTGCCCAGCATGGGGATCATCGTGATGAATCCTCAATAACTCCTGGCGCACCGCCCTGCTACGAGGGACAAAGACTGAACCATTTAGCAGTAGGAGTCCACATTCCCCTAGTTGCCAGCGACTTGGTTCCTCGGCGGCACCGCCCCGCTCAGGGCTTGCCCCTTCCAAGTTCGACCCGGATCCTTCCTCCTTCAACTTCTGGATTCGAGCCGCAGTAAAGGCGTCCCCCTGCTGCAACTCACCAATGAATTCTAGAAGCCGTTGGGTTGGAAGGTTGTAGACCGTTTCGTCTTCCGCCAATTCAATGGCAGCAAAACGTGGCACGAGAAGTTCATGACCTTCAGTGCCAGTCCCCTGCGGGGACCCGAGTTCTCCTCCACCTGTATAGGGTCGCGCAGCTGCCTTACCGGCGCCGTTCCCAAGCTTTAGAGAACCCCAACCCCCTGCAGCCAGTTTCTTCTGCAGTGATGGTAGAGGTCCCTTTGTAGGATCCTCATCCCCATCAACGATATCATAATCGGGTCGCCTTGATGGCGCATCGGCGGGGTTAAGCCGACCTGGACGGTATCGGATAAAGAAATCATACTCCGAAAGCAGCTCCGCCCACCTGGCTTGACGTCCTGTCAAGCTCTTTGTTGTCAAGAAGTAACGCAAATTTGCATGGTCGGTGAGAACTTGCACCGGATACTTGCAACCTTGAAGGTAGTGTCGCCAAATCTTAAAGGATTCAACTATTGCCAACATCTCTTGATCATGAGTATCATACCTTCTTTGCGTGAGCGATAGCTTCTTGGAGAAGAAGGCCACTGGTCTCCATTCACGGCGCCTTGTAGGTTCTGTGAAAAAGCCTTCTCCTACAGGCATTCCATTGCCTGTATCTCCAGAGGTTATTAACCCCCGATCCTTCCAACGTTGGAAAGTCTCCGGTGTCAACTGCGAAAAGATTCCGCAGACACCATTCCCAGATGCATCAGTTTCACACTGACTGGGTAGGCCGGGGTCGAAGTGATTTAACATCGTGGCATCTGCAAAAGCTTGCTTCAATTCTTCAAACGCCCTCACAGCGTCTTGGGTAAGGATAAACGGTCCCGTTTTCCTGCCTTTAACACTTCCCTTTAACAAATCTGTAAGGGGGGCAGCAATCCGCGAATACGCATAGATGAACCGTCTATAGAAATTCGCGAACCCTAGGAATACCTGCACCTCGCGGTACGTGCGCGGCGCCGGCCAGTCCTCGATGGCGGAGACCCGGCTCCTGTCCATTGAAATGCCATCAACCCCAACAATATAACCTAAGAAATCAATCTCCTGTGTGTAGAACGAGCATTTCTCAGTGTTCGCATAGAGCTGGTGTTGCTTCAAGCGATCCAACACCTCCCGAACGTGGGTATCATGTTCTTTTTCCGTTTTCGAGAAGATTAGGATGTCGTCCAAGTATACTATGCAGGAGACATCGACAAGGCCCCGCAGCGCCTCATTTATGTAGGCCTGGAAGGTGGCCGGAGCGTTGCAAAGACCAAAAGGCAAAACGAGATATTCAAAATTGCCGTACTTGGTACGAAAAGCTGTCTTCCAAATGTCGTTTTCGTTAACCCTTATTCTATGATAGGCGTCCCGTATGCCAATCTTCGAGAACACCCTTGCTCCGGATAATCGATCGATCATCTCATCAATTAATGGTAGTGGATAGCGATCCTTAACCGTCACCTTATTGAGGCCCCTGTAGTCTACGCAGAGGCGCAGCCTACCGTCCTTCTTGGGCACGAATAGTATAGGTGCCCCCGCTGGACTCTTCGATGGGCGTATCCAGTTCTTTGACTGCGCTTCTTCAAGATATTTGCGCAGAACGTCCAATTCCTTTACTGACAAATTGTAAAGGGGTCCGTACGGCGCTGTCGCGCCCTCTTCAAGATGGATCTTATGTCGCACTTTGGTATCAGGAAACTTCGCTGCTTCCTTTTCTGAAAAAACGTCCTTGTAATCTGTGAAGAGACGTTGCGTTCGTCCGCCTTCAGTGGCAGACATCACTGCTAATCTGGCAGTGAGGGTGGCGGCTTCTCCGCCTGCCTCCAAGTCCAAGTCACCTGCTACACAGTATATCGACTCAATCTTATCCTCGAGATTCTTCCGATGGAACTCTTCGGGTTCCTCTATAGCTGCCTCTTCGTCGGTGAGGCGGTACCGCCACGCCTGAGTGACCCAGTCGATGAGAGGATTGTTTTCTCTCAACCACGGGAGACCTAGGATGACGTCCTCATCTATGATGTTGACAGCGTGGAGGAGCAGACTGCTCCCCTTGGAGGTTCCTTCAGAGTCCGTGGCCTCACACTTTGTTTGAATGATGCCGAATCGGTGGCATTTTGTTCCATCTGTAAACTTTGCGTGGCCCGGCGGACCTATCTTTTTCCAACCCTTCATGAGTGAAAAGGAATAGGATATGAAGTTAGCGTCCGCCTCGGAGTCGACTAGGCACCTCACTGGCACCTCCCCTCATGGGGTATTCATCTTCAAGGTTACATGGACTCGGAGTCGTGAGGATTGTCAATCCTCCTTGGGTCTTTCCTTTTTATCTTCAGTGGATACATTTGCCAGAAGGGGAGTCGTCTTCGAGGAGGTATCTCCTCGGTTCCTTCCCTTCTTCGACTTACGGCAATCACTGGCAAAATGGCCTGAGATTCCGCAGTTAAAACAAAGGTTGTTATCCAGTCTATTTTGGCGTTCCTTTGCAGTAAGTGAAGAACTGGAACGCTTTGAGTTCTTCTTTGCATCATCCGCACCGGAGCCGTCATGGCGCCGTTTTGATCCTGTTGTCGGTTGCTTTGAGGGAGTCTTGTCCCCCTTCTTCTCATGGTGTTGATTATTCAAATAGATTCGAGAAGCCAGGTTGACAAGCTCGGTGCGATTGGTGGGCGGACTTTGATATTGCGATATCGTCGTCCGCACCTTATGAGTCAGCTTCGCGAGGTAAAGCTGCGTTTTCAATAGATTCAAATCGTCAGACAGTTCCTCCCAATATTCTTCGAATCTTGCATTGAAATCGGAAGGATTCTCGTCGTCTCGTTGACGTAGTGAGTTGAACCGCTGCGCCGCTGTGAAGGCGCGGTTACGGTGGTCTTCAATCTGGTCCAGAAGGAAGTTCTTGAATTCTTCCCATGTCATGGCAGCATTGCTACGCTCAAGCTCCCTTTCCTTGGTCGCCCATGTAGTTGCAGTGGTGCCTTCGAGGAGGCTCGCGGCGTATATGACTCGTACCTCATGAGTATTAAACTGGCTCAGGTTAAGGCGGAATTTCCGTTCAAGGGCTCTCGTGAAGCTGTGGAATTCAGACAGCGTCTTGCCCTTGTAATTCGGCGGATCTCCAACCTTGATCCCTTTATCTCCATGGTAGACATAGGAGTGTAGGGGCCGCGGCGGTGGCAGGGCGGCTGGAGGGCCCATGCCAAGGTGAGCGGCGGGTTCAGGAATCTCAGATTCCTGCCGGGGTAGAGGTGTACGCGCTCTAGGGGACGACGTGGAGGCTCCCCCAGAGGGTGCAGTCCCAGCACGGGTGCGTGGGGCCATATCGATCAATAGAGCTCGACTGATTCAAACGTGTAACCAGGTCGAGCGATTCGAATTGTAATGTGACGGCGCCGAGGCGATTGCTACTCGGCAGCGGCACAGAGGAGGATGGTATATAATGGGAAGCCTTATGGGTGGGCTTGATTATCTCGCTTGAACCGCGAACTCGTAGAATACTATACAAATACTGAACTACCAGAGGTACTCGGCACACTATGAATATTGTATGAGGACAGTGGTAACTCTGGTATCTTATTGTCAAAAGATAAAAGACGAATCGCTGGCTCCTGGAATAGAGAGCCAGCATCTAGCTATTCTATATAGACAACGGGCAGCCATCCTCCCCTCACTCTATAAGCGAGGGTAGCCGAAGCAACTCCGCAGTGGCGCTGCATTGATCTGCCAGAAGGAATCCAGACCCCGTATAGAAACAGGATTCTCATATCTCATCAATCGGATCCTCTTCTATTGCATCCGAATGATGTCATAGGGTGGTTGGAAACCGGTTCGGACACCTGCGTGACGTTATGGGATAGATGGGATTATCTGAGGGGAAGCGATGGGCCGTGTGGAGCCGTCACGGGGCCTTGGCACAACCAAGGGTGTGACAAGAAGAATCGAACGAATTGAATATTGAGTATGAAAGCCCAGCTAGCAATAATGAGATGTCGGATAACGCGAGCGGCTCTGATGGCTGTGGTGATGTGAGTGAAGAAACTCACATGAGATTGGAGATTGCAAGACTCCAGTATGAAGTCCAGCAGATGAAAGCAAGTAGGGGTGAAACCTCTGCTAGTGATGACAACATCAGTGCAGATCTAGCAAGCTATCTGCAAAGAAAAGGCAGGACATCTGCTATTGTGAAGGTTCTTAATGAGTTCTGTGACCAAGTGAGACTCATAAGGGAACTAGTTACACTGATTGGATTTGTGAATTATTCAGTGTGAAGAGAAGAGATCCTCCTCACAGTGAGGCAATCTCATACAATTGATATCAGAGATGAGAGACAACTTGGACTCAAAGAGGATGCCAGTGCTGATATGCAATGGTTTTGGAAAGAACACAATATGTGGCTGTATAACTACATGTGGTTTGCAATCACTCCGCAAGCAAGATCTTAATTTTAGTTACACTCAAGGAACTATCTGCCTATGCTCTGTGGACAGCTATATAGAAGATATCTTTGCTGGGCGGCCTGCCAGCAATGTCAACGATGCCAGCACCAATGATGATATTGGTGATGATATCAGTGATACCGGTGATGATAGTGGCTACGGCAGTGTGGATATTGATATGGATTCCAAGATGGAATGTTTGGATGGATCAATGGAGGACAATCCTACAAGCGATGATGATATGGGCGATGATGACCTCGATACTGATAGCGACCATGATATGGATAGGGGGTGTGATGGGCACCCTATATCTATCAATACAATTGTGCGAAGAGTGATCTATGGGAGAGGATGGGTGGTAGATGGGGCAGTCCCTACCACAAAGAACATGGATATGCCCGTGGAGGGTGGATTTTTAAATACAACTTGGCCTGGTTTGATGATAAGTCATATGGAACGACCTTGTTGGAAGGAAAAGAATGGTATCAGGGATACAGCAAATTACAGATTTTACTTGTGTTGTCTTGTTTTTTTACAGTTATTGCTGTACGGGCACCTATTTTCAAAGAGGAAATCAGGGTCCAAATTCTGTAATTAATTATTATTGTGTTGTTAGGGGATTTGAGCCAGGGGGGGCCCTGCTGGGCGGCAGGCGCCTTATGTGGCCACGCCGTAGCAAGGGGTGTTAGGCATTAAATTAAGGGCTCCAGTACGGCTACCCCAGGCACGTGCCACCCAACATATTATGTTGCTCTCGCTTAGATAGTTAACAAACACATAACAACCAACGTTATCCTCCTACAAAATCCCTTCCCATGCAACAATAATTATGCCTGTTATTCATCCTTGTCACTCTCACTGATCTTCATCACAA